TTATAAAGCTATAAAGACACTCGTGACCAGAATATTGATATCTTGTTATTTGAGGCTCCTGCCAAATATCCAGATCATACAATGGACACGGAAGTTGCATAATACCTGTACAGACAGTTCATGGGATAAGATTTCCCAGCTCACCCAAACAATATCTGCGGCAAAAGATCCAGCGGGGAAATTGTGAGCTCTCCATACATAGCCTGATTCCTAGCAATATGATTGTAATCAAAACAAACTTTCTTATGATGGCCACATGCATGTCAGTATGATCATACAATCAATCATTCAGCGTGACTGAATTGATTAAACCAAAGGCCCTCCGTGCTGATCAATTTAATGTGCTCTCGATCAATTTGAACTCTACCAAGTTGATTGGCCATGGTGAAATTTTGTTGAAAAAACATCTGTGTGTTTGTCAGAAAACTGATCGTAATTCAGATCGATTATATGATCGTACTTAATAGATTGTTTTCAGTTGTAGCTGATAAATCAATATTTTCGGTTGTTTGCAGTGTGGATTCACACTTGATCACAAATCGTCATGTGTGTGGCCATCTTTAGACAATAACATGCTGGGTGCTATTACTTAAGGGTGCATTGTATTAAGTTCTGCATTCCAGCACTTTTATTTTGTCTGTTTGCTGACTTTTCTCTTTCCTCTCTTTCCCCCAGAACTCTGAAAGTGAGATGGATGAGAGGTGAGTTTTCTCTATAGGAAGTTTAGGGCTGCAACTAACGATTATTTTCATAAACGATTAGTTCTCCGATTATTTTTTTCGACTAATCGGATAAAAAAATACCATCTTTTATTTCAAATAAAATACACAAATGCAGTGTTACAAACATAAGGTTTACTTCAGAATAAAACTGCATACACAATTGTTGCAATTGCAGCACAATGGAATGCACAGCATTGTGGTACCGTGTGTTCCAGTGCGGGCGATCACACTGCGGGCGGGAGGCTTGATTGGGGTGCCATTGAAATGAATGACACCGCAAAGCACATCCTGCAGCAGAATTTGTCAGGCTGAAACCAAAAATGACTTTTTTTCCCACCTATTTTAATTTTTTTTAAATAATTGTATGTATTATATCAGACATTTTAATTCGTTTCATGGATTTAAAATAATCTGCATTGAAAAACTCCAAGCCAATATAATAAAGTAACCAAACTTTTAATAAAAATATAAAAGTCCGATCATCAGTTTAGAGTTAGCCATGAATATTGGTCTGAGAATCAACAGAGGAGGACCTGAAAGAGAAGGTCTTTCCGCTTAGGTCCCCCGCTGATGATTGACAGGATGCAGTGGGCGAGTGCAATAGCCAGCCTGCTATTGGCTGTTGCGATTTAAAATAGCCAATAGCAGGCTGGCTAATGCTCCCAAGCCACTGGATGGGAGACTTGTTGTCGGCTTTCTACTGCCGGCTACAAGTCTCCTATCCTACGTGGGCGCGGGGGCATGGGCTGCGGTGGTGGACGCAGCGGTGGCACAGTGTCTCTTATACAGCGGCTCCCTGTGAGGAGGAGAATGGAGAGCAGAGCAGTGGCGAGGGGGGTGAGGCTTAGATTGAGTTACGGAGCTCTCCTCACCTTTGGGCACTCCGTTGCTCCCATCCCCGCTGGGAGCAACGGAGATCAGAGAAGGGACAAAGAGCACATGAAACAACTAACCAAACAATCAACTAATCGATAATAATTATCGATTATCATCGATTTAAACGTTTAGTTGTTGCAGCCCTAAATAAGTTTATAACACATCACTCGTAAAACATACCATTTTAACTTAGATTTTGAGAAGTTACTTTTGGGAAATATAACATATAGAGAGGAAAAATTCCACACCTGTAAAACCTGTTATATTTGTAGTGTAATGATATCACTCCTTTATTATATATGTACCAGTCATTCCAGGTATGGCGAGCACAGGGCTTCATCTCTGCACTCCTGGTGTCCGCAAGGAGTGGAAAGGGAGTGAAGAAAATGTACGTGCTGCTGGGGAGTGGTGGCAATTAAGTGAACCCGTTGTTGTGCCATACATGGGCAAAGCAGAGGTTTACTTTACAAGAAAAACAAAAAAGTATAAAAGCTACCATTACTACCCTTTCCTTCTGAAAAATCTAGTTTCCCAGCTGTCATAATGATCCATTGTCTTCAATATTTTTACTAACCTTAAAGTATGCATATTAGGAGTTAACTTTAGCATTCTCCAGGCCAGTGACTGAGAAATCATTAAGTCAGAGACAGCCTGGCAACTAACATTTTCAGAAGTAGGTCAATAATGGTATCCTAAATTCTTCCCTCTGTACAATTTTTCTTTAGGCCAGTCCCGGAACTATGTACAGTATGATGATGATAACACTACCATCTCTCTTCCCTCTTAGAACAGAAGAAGCAGAAGGAATTCTGGAGCCAGAAGAGTCAGAGAAGTTAAACTTTAACAATGACTGTGTACAGAGTTCGTTACTGAACAGATTATGGGTTTCCTCTATCCTCTGCTCTACCACTGGTTAGTATCTGAGACTCATAGAGGTAGATCAATAAAGGCAGAACTCTGCCTTGTGGGCAGAATGAAAAAAAAACCACTTGATTCCCCCATCCATTTTGTAAAGCGCAGCAAGATCGCTGGATTGGTGCTAAAGATAAGTACAGTGGTGGGCAGCA